TATGTAAGCAAAAATTTGAAAAAAAAAAAAAAAAAAAAAAAAAAGTCTAGAAATATTGTCTCCCTGTTTTTTTTTTGACCGTCACTAACTTTAGACCACTGGGTCTAAAGTAAGAGAGTGAAAGTCAGAGCCCCTTTAAAACATGAAATTAGCTCAACCTACCATTTGAAACTTGATTACTTCTTTGGTGCTGACCTGAAATTGCAAGAAAAGAAAATTCAGCATTAACAACTTGTGCAGAAGAGCAGAGGTTATAAAGATCAGAAATTAAAACAATGGAAACCCTGTGAGCTCACCACTGTGCTGATTTTTCTCTTGCCATCAGAAGCTCTGAAAAGACATTTGTTATCTGCTGGTTCAAATGACTCCGAGTGGCCCTTTCTGGGCACCGGCTTGGTCCTTCCATCATCTGGGAAGAAGAAACGAAACCAATTCCAATTGCTTAGCTGTATAAACCCAGTTTTAGTTCCTGATTTAATTGGCATAATAACTGCTAAAACTCTGGAGGGACCTACTCACATTTCTTTAGCGTGATGACAACACTGCCAGATGTTCTGCACTTCTGGAAGAGCCGTGTGAGCTCCGTGAGGAACTGGAGAACAAGTTGATCGTAATGCTTTAATATTCACATTTTAAAAACGTACAAGTCATTCAGTGTTATGAATGACAGATTGCACAGGCAGTTGCCGGGTTATTGGGTAAACCTAGCCTAGCAAACATGAATACATTCCATTAAAACGCTCTTGCATTAAAGAAAACCTTCATTCAAGTCATAATGTCCAGTTTAGTTGGAATTGTTTCAGAGAGCTGGTGAAATAACGTTACACTGCGGTTTAGAGAAAGCTGTTTCTCATTTTAGTCTGAGTAAAAATATTAGACATTTAAGGCGACCAAACAAATTGGCGAGTGTATGATGCTAAAGGGACCTGGTTAATGCGTATCTAGGTTCAGAAACATGGCTAGTCACTGCACGACGTTTAGTTTAAAACAGTTCCGTCTGCAAAGAATGTGTAAACGTACGAGCACCGCTGATTCACTATTATAGTCCAAGTTCTACCATACTGGCTTGTATTTCATAGATACGAAACGGAAATGGCAACATTATGAGAAACAGCCAACTAATTTTACGGTGCTTTAACGTTAAATTTCATAAGCCAGTTTATGGCTGTTAATACGCTATAGAGTAAAATACTCGGACTACATTACGTTTGCCAGCTCAACTTAAACCGGTGTTAGCCTCAACCCAAACTTAGCAGGCTGACTAGCTAATGATTCCGTTCGACGATTAGATTGCCTAACCCCGAGGTTATTAGCCAGCTAGCTAGCTGTCAGACAACTAAGACAGACAATATCAATTCCAACCTTATAATCAATGGCGACAACAGACTAACTGAACTTACCGAATCATTTTCTAGCAGCACCATATCTATGGTTTCAGTTTGCTGTTGCGTTAGCTACTGACCGCAGGAGACCGCTGTGAAGCACACGTAGGATACAAGCCGCAGCCCCGCCCTGCGTCCCAACCGCAAAAGGCGGCGCATTACTCACAGCGCCACCTACTGTCACGGAGGGGATCGTACAGCCACGATTGTTACAGGGAACATTCGGACATGGGTCTAACGCCATCACTTTGGGAAGTTTACATAGCACCCAAAAATATAGATAACACTGGCTGTTGCGCTGATTATTAATGTGGCTGCGGCTGTGATTTTTTTTAATTCTAACTTTATTTAGAAAAAAGGGAATGCTTTTCTGAAGTCTTCACAGTATCAACAAGTCAGTTGTTTTAACTTATCTTTAACTTGAATAATGCTGTACATATTTTAACAAATCTTTTAATATTATCAATTATGAATATTTGTATGTATCAAAGAATTCTGCAGAAGGACATTGCTAAAATGACTGTTTGTGGTGGAATGCCCAATGTCTACACAGAGGTCACTGTCATGGCTGCAGCTGTGATTTTAACTGTTATGATTACTATGGCTGTGACACAGGGGCTGTACAGGTACAGAGAACAGTCATGTTCGTATTGGCTGTAATGGTGGTTGTGGTGTAGCTACTATGTAATGTCTGTTCTACCTAATGAAAGCACCTGGTTCAAATACTTGCATTAGTGTCTGGTTTTACAGTTCTGTCTTGGTCAGTGTTATGCTCCACGGTGCTGTAAAGAGCAGCCACTATCACAGTTAATGATGTAGCAATGCAAGTAGTATTTCACAATCCAATACATACTGTAGGTAGGCATAAGGTCAGCCACACTCGTGCTATTGTCACAACAAATGACTGTCTCTGAACTCATTTGTTTACAAAAATCTCACGGATTGCATTTATTTAATATGTATCTTAACCACATCTATTTAATAATTATACAGTATATTCAGTAATGATACATTCACCGATCAGCTCAGCACAAACTGCATCTTGTAAAAACACTGATAATTTACATGTTGTCAAATAAGTGAGGCTGATGCATCTACTATACTGTGAACTTCAGATTTAAACTTTATCTACCTTTATCCTGACTTTCAGCACTCACCTTAAAGAAAATCATGTGTGGTTTTCAGCATTCATAGCATGGAAAAAAAGTACTACAAATGCTGATTTGACAAAGATATTAAAAACACACCAACTTTGGTTTGAATATGGACTTAATAGTAAAATAAAGTTATGTAATACTTTCATAAAGGAGGTCCTATCATCTTGACAGTGCACAGTCTGGATGGTGCCCTAGGTTTGAGAGGTTCACAGCAAACTCAGAGTGCCAGTCTCGGTCAAAGACTGCCCTGAGCTGGCTCTGCAGGACCTTTGCTTTGCCTACAGGGTGAGGAGCATGTTGAGAAATCACCAGGCCCACTCCAGCTGTGGTCAGAAAGTAGTCCCCTGACCAATTGGAGGTACCTGAGCAACAATACAGTGTTATCTGGTCATTTTAACTCATTCATGCCACAAATGACCTCTTAAAAAACTTGGATGCTCAAAAATTTTAACTGACTGAGGATCAGAAATAACAGCTCTGATAGTGATCTGTTACTCACCAATGTAGGCCACTTTATCAGTCACCATGTACTTATTATGGTTGATTCTGGAATAAGGAATGCCAGTCTGGTTTCCCACAGGTACAATATACAGTATC